TCATCCATTCAGCTGAGGAAAGAGAGGGGAGTGGTTTACTTTGGGGCCTGGGGATGTCCCCTCCTTGCTATGCACACTTGAGTCAAACTTGAGATACAGCTGCCCATTAAAGGAATCCCAACAAAGGATTCCATATCATAGTGTCTAACTGGATAGTTACAGTGAGAACTATTCTGAGAATCATAGACAGCGAGGACTTTGTTCTCTGAATTCTACATTATTCTCCCCAGATCCTCCTGGCAATGTGAATCAGGACAGTAGGTTTGGCTCTACAATCTCACCCCCACCATCTTTGGCAATTTGGGAATTTCTTCTTGGAAACAACAATCCTTCCATCAAACCAGGAAAAATTTGAATCAAGTTAGTCTTTTAGATCTGATACTTTTGATTTAGATTGTATATAGAAGGATTATCTGTGCTTCCCAAACCCTGCTTTTATCTAAATTATCTGAAGACCTAAAGAAAAAAACGAGGTTTCACAGGCTCGGTGTAACCAGCTCCATAGCACAAAAACTTACTTTTCATAATTTCTTATCTCCATTATTGGTTTTATGCGGCAAGCAACATGAGCACCCCTCCTTGTGGGTTTGGTAAAATAGGGAGAGAAAGGACTGAGTTAGCTGTGTAATTTCCAAATCCGTTTCATGCAGGCACAGTACGTGTGGACTTTGTTAGAGCAAATTGTTTTGAATAGGGACTTTGATTTTTGGACACCAAGCACCAACGTCCCATTTCCCTGAAATGCCATTTGCAGATTGACAGAACTCCCAGGTGGTCTGCTCTCTGTGGCCTTGGAGGGAAGCAAACGCTGTGTTATCCTCCAGTCAGCCACGGGCTAGTCCTCAAAAACCCAGTAGGCTCACAAATGTTAGGCTTGTGTGTAAACTGGAAGTCATGGTGGTCCCTAAGTTGTATGTCACTAAAATGTATTGCCTTAGAAAGGAGGCAGAGGTAAAGGGGGGGGACTCACCCACCAGTCACTATCCAGATGACCCTGTGGATTTCCAAATGCCACCTCGAGGGTGCTTGCTGCCCCCTGTTAAGAACCACTATTTTAAATGTTAAACTTTAATCTTTTGTTAGTTAATTTACATATAAAAATTAGATTCTTTGGAAAACCATGTTGGGATTAGGCAGTATTTTTCCCAGCCCACGATGATTTTGAAAATACATAGCCACAGATCTACGCTTCTACTTTGAATGCGTGCAGTGCTGAAGACTCCCCTTTGCTGCTCATTTTGACTCAGACAACAATGGGGCCTCATTGCATGTCGTCCTCTTCTCTCCCAGGGATTCTCAGTTCAGAACACAAAACTAGGGGCCCACTCAGGGCAGATGCCGTGAGGGCAGTAGCCCAGACCTCAGACACAAGTGACATATGAGTCCTGCCTCTGCACGTAGCCTTTGTCAAGATGCTTAACCTCTTTCCTACTCCCAGGCTCACTCAGTGAGAGCCTGCCCGTGGGCGTACTCTGCAACTCTGGGGTGCTTTCCACAAATGACGGGGTTTGAGAGGTCTGTGTAAAACACAGAAACTTTTAATAGGTCTGCCTCCTTTGTTTTTCATCAGACTTCTTTTAGAACCTTCAGTATTCCAGTGCTGGTTTTCTTAATTATCTCTGCTATGGGACTTAGGTTTTCTTATCCAGTGATTACATGAGAATTAAAGTCTCTGTGTGGTCAAAGGTGGTGGGTTAGGACCCAGAGTGGGTTTTGCCAGTTTTGATAGTGGGACCATTCACCCCAGTTTACAGGAAGTTTTTGTCCTGGAATAATTAATAGCATTCTCTTTCACCCTCACAAATGTCCTGGTGTGGATTATAGATGATATGGCTTCCCTTGGTTTTGATTATATTTGATGTCACAACCAGGCCCCGAGGAATGGTCGTATCTACATTGCCAACCACCCTCTCTGGTTAAGTCCCTGCTAGAGCTAAATTCACAAGGAGCAAACAGCAAAACGGAAATCAATGTACTATTTCGTATTAGCTTATTTATTTCAAAGATCTTGGTACAAATCTGTGTAGCTCATGGCTTAGGCTTGTCATCTACCCCCTACATCCAGACCTCACTACCAACTGGCTGCTGAGCTTGAGACAGCAAGGGCATCTGTAGAGGATTAAACATCATACTTACTACAACAGTCACCAATAGCATAACTCACCTGAGGAGTTACTGACAACAAGACATTCTCCTGGCAAGCCTGGAAATCTCTTGTGACTTGGAAGGCAAGCCACCAAGTAACTCCGTAATCCTGGAGGAACCAAGTTCAGTGCTGTAGTAGTAAGGCTATTGTTAAACATTAAGCATTTTCTGACAGTTCCTTAAAAGATTAGTGGAGAAAAATTGCATTTACTATTTTGAAGATCATTTCCTTACCACCCTTGAAGATCATTTCCTTGAGGACATACTCTGCTGGCACCGATGAGATCATTTCCCCGAGCACGCAGCCCCTGCGTGTCTTTGCTTAGTAATCTTTCTGCCTATTATGTATCTTCTCAATGAAAGCACTCTGGACGAAGTGCTCAGTGCCGTCCTGCACCTATGGTAGCCTCACCTCCTACAGCGTGTACTGTCAATCCGTGTCTTGCGTGGTCATTTATGCGGTCGCGACAGGCATCTCCTTGGGTCTGCCCAGAAACAGCAGAGCCTGGCAGACAGCATGGGGCGGGAATCCGAGATGTGCATGATGTTGTACACACATGTGAACTACTGGGGGTTTTAATGATCCCTAATAAATGTGGCGCGGTAGCCAGTCATATTTGTAAGTCCTCCCTATAGCAGTCAGGGCAATGTTAGGAGAGGTGAGGATAGGGGCTTCCCCTCCCCCCGCCCGGTGCTTTCACCCCCGTATAGTGCACTCTACCTAATCAGAGGTAGAATTGCTAGTCTCTGCTTTGATAGTGTTAGCTTTCTGTAGTCATTTTGGAAAAGAAGGAAAATGCCCCTTTTCTCCATCTAAACACAACCGAGGACTAGACTCCTTTAGAGAGGCATCAGAGCATAGTGCTTCCTAGTGTCACCTGGACGTTAATTGCTCCTAGGCTTATAAATCCCAATGTCCATATCATTTAACAGCTGTGCGGCCTTAGGACGTCCCTTAGCCTCTGTAAGCAACAAAGTAATGAAATCCTTGCATTTCATCTGTGGGCAGGAGGGCCCAGGGAAAGTCAACCTGCTCAGTCAAAAGGGATTTGTGGACGGCTTTGTGGGAGCTGCTTGAGTACAGGGCCAGTGCTGCGGAAGTGTAGAGGAAGCGGCCCAGACGCGGTCCTCCCGTGTTCCGTTTCCCAGGTGCCTCCCATCCGCCTTTGCACTGTTGGCAGTGTGGGGAGGGTAAGGCCACTGGCCTGGGGTCTGAGAGATCTGGGGTGGGGTGTCAGTGAGGAGGAGTCTGAATTGTCTAAGCCTCTCCCTGTTGCCTGTTCAGTACGCTGGGAATTCTGACATCCCCCACGGAGTTATTGTAGGATTGATGAGCATCAATCCTAACACCATATGGTCTGTTGGCAAAATGGGGTGGGAACTCAAGCTCATTCTGCAGAGCTCCCCCTTAGTAACAGGTCTGGTTTGTTGGGGTAGTCCTTTTTTTGTTGTTTTTTGGTTAATACTTTGATGAATTACTTGGGGGTGCTGAGGTGGTGGCAAGATGGGGAGAGGGGAAGCTTGAGGAGCAAG